GTAATTGGTAAATATTTTCACTGATTTTATGAGCTAAATATAAAAACTTAAGTTGCCTACCTTTAGGTGTTCAACATACGTGAACACATATATAACTATCTTTTAGGCTACACATATATATATATAACAAAAAGTGAGAACAGCAAAGAAGCCATGCTTTGCCATTCTGTAGAAATTAATTAATTTCTTTTGTCTCTTTCTTTCTTGAGCAAGAAACTTTTTCGTTAGCTTTTCACAAGTCTTATAGTAAATATAAAGTGCTATTAAATATTAAGAAGATTTACGCCCATTAATTGCTTTTACCAACTTTCACCAATACTAAGATGGCTAAAAAAATAGCTTACGGCAAAGCTAAGTTTTAAATAAATGACTTGTTTTACAATTCTATAATTTGTAGTCTTAAAATAAAATATATTTATATATTTAAATTCTATGTAAAAAAATATTCTAAACTTTTTGTGTTCATTTATCAAATTCCAAAAGTCTGCATTATTTCTTTTTTATATTGAAAATTTCCATTCATTAAATACTTCATGCTTTACTACGCATTAAAGCCAGCATTGCCGTGGTACGCATTTAAGAATTTTTGCTTCGAAAATTCTCTTAATTATTTCCATTTTTTATACTCAACTTGTCACTGTTACAATGTGTTTACCACAAGTCTAAACTTTGTATTATATATAAATTTGAAGAAGGTGAAACAAATGGGGAATATGCGTGGATTAATATAGAGAGACCAGCATATGGATATAAAATATCAGAAAGTTTCAATTTTCCTCCTAAAGTTTCAAAACAGATTCACCTTTGAAAATAGCTCACAACGAACAGGATGGTTCAACGCTTAGCCACACACGATACCGTAATTATGCCTTAGCTACAGTATTCATCAGACTAGGCGACTAGGGACTTTTTCCTATCCCCAAAACCCAAAGTAGTCAGGAAAGGAGGAAATTTTGTCGCGAGTAAGGAGATAAAGATCGCATCGTTGAAAGAGCTCAAGGTCAAAATCAAACAGTACATATCAGGAGTGCTTCGAAGATTGGAAAAGCCCTAGCACAAGCGCTGTCACCCGCATTTTGAAGGGGACCAAAGTAGATTTTGATGAATAAATGAATATTTTTCGGGGTATTTTATACTTCATGTATCGGTTGCGTATTTCTGAACATTACATACATCTATTAAAACTCCATCATTGTATAGTGGATATAAAAATGTTTGTATAGGTTAAGTAACAAGAACTTAAGCAACACCATCTGCGGAAAAAGTCCGCACTAAAAAACAGTTCTCCCGAAAAGTTGGCTTTATGTAATCTTTGGGTTCAAAATTAGCAAAGGAAGAAAAAGAGTAAATGAAGTTCGCTTTTGGGCAATTTTAACGCTAGCCTATCAACGGATGTACATATGGCAAAATATACGCCCTCTTGTGAATACATATACCATTGTATTATTAAGCACGCTAAAGCATCGTTCAAGAGATAAGTATCCCAGATTCACTTTAAACAGAATCCTATTTTTTTGAAGTTTCAAGCTTCACATACATATTCGCATCACTAACCAGAGAAAAACAGTGATCCTGTGAGGAGTGAATATCCCCCGTTTACCGCAAAGAGATGCTCTTCTCACAAATAGTTCGTAAAAGGTTTGCCGTCATATATGGTTTGCATTACTGAGCATGGAAACATAGCGAGCGACTATGGGATAGATGGGTCGCTCAGATTCACAGGGAAAAGAGAATCGACTTTCTCATGTCTCCCGTTGCTTGCCTGTGTTTTCGTAGTGATATTCCTTTTACCAAAGACAGAATGACACCGCTCCTGCTTAAATGCACACACATCCAGCGCCATGCTATCTCTATTCACTGTTAACACTCGTTATATACACTCCACATAACGGCAATTTAAAGCTATGTTGAATAAATATACACGAGGATGTTTATATGTGTGTGTGAATGATTGAACTCGCACATATGTGTTTGTCTTTGCGTGTGTTAATTCACTTAAACATAAAACCAGCATTGATGTGTGCATTCGGATATTTCTCTCTAGGGTATTAACTACTAATTGTTTGCACATATATACAAACATGTACATACCAGGCACACTCGTGAGATTATCTATCTCTGTCACAATAGTATAAGTGAAAACCTATAATTAAATTATCTCGAAAAATTCAAATGAAAAATTTAAGAAAAAAAAAAGAAAAGAAAAATGAAGTTTAAAAAACATTTTTAATACTTAATGACCTTACCATAAACGTTGGGAAGTTACCAAAAAAAATATTGAGCCACATGTTAAGCTGAAATGATATTTTGGATGAGTGCAATCTATAAATTCGTTTATGAATGAAATCATTGTATGAAACTTAAATTTTTTGAAAAAGCTTAATATTTTTTAGGGAAATAAGCATTTGAACGTCGTTGCGTGATTATCTACCAAGGGACGGGTGCACATTCATCTTATCAAAATGTTTGCAACAATCGAAAAGTAGCTACAAAGATATATATAGTGTTGGCCAACATCAAATCCTAAATCGATTTAAGCATGTCAGTCTGTCCGCCCCTCTAAAGTCTATGTTAAATATTTTCCTGGCCGCAAGATTTAACTTATCACTTTCAAATTAAGCATAAACGATAAAAAAATTCTTACACGCAAGTTGATGTTCAAAATGAGCCAAATCAATGTAGTACCATAGGCATGCCTATATATAGTACGTACACCAAGAAAAAGTTACAATTTTTTGCACAATTTATAGCAGATGAACCTGTAAAAACTTTGGCATATAATCTATAGGCAATTTTATAGTAGCTGTACGAAAAAGAGCAAGAACAGATCACGACCCCGAAAGAAGCTTCAGAGACCCCATAAAGCGCATATAGTCTTGATCAACAACAAATGTTGAATCGATTTCAGCACGTTCGTCTATATGTCCGTAATGGAATAAGGGTGTGGACTTCATATTAAGCAAGAGCCATTAGAAGTTCTTGCACGCAAGCTAATTTTGAACATAAGCAAACACACAACGTAACTCAGATCATTTCTACTTTTTAGATTTTTTACTTATTACTCGCAAACTACACTAGACATACGATAAAAATGTTCCCGTGGACTTTACAAAAGTGTAAAAAAAAATCAGACACGCCCCTCTCCAATATTGTAGGCAACAAAAATTTAGTTTTCTTTTTCTTTTTTTTTTTTAGTATTTTTTCGGAAGATAATAGTAAGCATAAAAGGTTCGACCATACCCGCACATAATTTTCTTATTTGTTTCTCTTGATAAAACAGCAATGGGCCTTCCTGAAGCAATTTTATAATGAATTATTAAGTGATTTGGTTATTAACACTTGTCAAACTTGTTTTGTTATTAATACTCAACTCGCCGAAATATTTTTATTATTATTTAAGGTTATGTCAGTTGTTTAGCATCTGGAAGTTCTTAGCCTTAAATTGAGCCTAGAATCTGCGAATTGATGGACGGAAGGATTCGAAATGATCGGATCAGATTACGCTATAAAGAAAAGCATTCATTTTTAAAGGTTTTTCATTGCATATTTTTAGGTGCTATAAGCCATAAGCATAAGAGACTTATATTTTACTGCGTGTCTTCTCTGCTAGAAGGCATAAAAACTTTAATTTTAAGTAGAAACTGCTTTGATAGAGCCTTAAAGAATGAGTATATTATCATTAAATATTTAGAGTTAATGGAAAAAAGAAAGCTTGGCAATCGCTCATCTACAGCTGTGTAAATGTCTCCTCCCAATTAAAGCGCAGTATATTTATATACACGTAGAATACACAATGTATGCTCCAATTGTAATTACAAAATGTAAAATATTTAATACGGCAAAGAAACAAGTAATACTGCTGCAGAACAACGTTTTATTATATACTAGATACGGGAGCAGGCGGGTTATCCTCTGTTTAGCCTATTCGTACCTATGGCAAAAATGTGTGTGTGTGTGTGTGTGTGTGTGTGTATGTTTGTGAAGTTTCATACGAAATTAAAATAACAGAAAAATTTTATATGCACGTCTACTCTCCCAAACAACTTGTTAAAGCATATAAAATCAGCGATTGTTAGTTAAAAAGTCGATGTACGACTTGTTGGCTGGGGGTGGCGGTTAGGTTAGGTGGTATTGAGTTTAATAAATGTGTTCATGTTTTTTATTCCTATTTTTTTTTTTTTTTTCTTTTACCTTTTATGTCGTGCTATACCAAGTACTAATTAAACAAGTCTTAGCTGCTAGTATACAATGACAGCTGCTATAGCTCTATTGTTTAAGCAAAAAAAAAAAAAAGAAACAAAAACAACTGTCTCAGAGTTTGGTTGACTTTTCAGTCATTTGACTGTGACGTGATATACATAAGCCGTGATGTAAACATTTGACTTAATAAGCTTTAAATTAACTCAAATAAATGTACTCCAAATACTCTCAAAGATTTTAACAATCAATGCTTATGCAAGCGAAATTAACCAACCAAACGAATGCCTCATGTTTTCAATTCAATTCCATTGACGGTCTGCTTTTATCCCCAGGACCTTTCCAAACCGGTTGTGTTAATATTAAAAAAAAAAAAAAAAAAAAAAAAAAAAAAAA